TCAAGGGGATTATAAAAAGAGCAGCACAGAAAACAGCAGGGAAATAGAAGCATATGCAGACAACGTAGCAGGCATTTAACAATTGTATAAACCAGTCCTGCCTTCAAAAACTGCAGCATATTTTTATTGATGCATATGGTATTTGTGAAAACATTTGAGAGGATACTGATTATGGTCTTGATTACTGTGCTGTTTTGAGAAGATTGTATTATCATATTCTTGGAAAGTAGAACATTTTTTCCCCACAGTTCTTTCCAAACTAAAAAACCTTCAGAATAATTGATTGTTTTTCAGCTGGATTTCACTATCAAAATTCATTATTTCAACTTAACCACTTAATAAGTGTGCAAAACCAATATATACAATTCAAAAACTTAGTGGAAGATCATATATATATATATATATATATATATATATATATATATATATACAGCATAGACGAGTACACCCCTTTTGAAAAGTAAGATTTTAATCCACTTCTCTATGAACACAAGAACAATCTCCAAAATTTTGAGGAACCTGAGTTTAATGATTGTTTAGCTCATTACATGAAAGTAAGGTTATTAATATACTGTAACTTAGATTATGAAATCTTCAGTTTTACTCAAATTAGTTGATGCAAAAATGAATACACCCCACAACAAAAACTACTGCATCTAGCATTTTGTATGACCTTCATGATTTGTCAGGACAGCACCAAGTCTTCTAGGCATGGGATGAACAAGTTGGAGACTTATTGCAACATCTATCTTTTTCCATTCTTCAAGAACAACCTCTTTTAGAGCCTGGATGCTTGATGGAGAATGATGCTCAACTTGTCTCTTCAAATTCCCCATAGGTGTTCCATTGGGTTCAGATCAGGAAACATATTTGGTCACTGAATCCCTATCACCCGGTTCTTCTTCAGAAATGCAACGGTGGCCTTAGATGTGTGTTTTGGATCATTGCCATGTTGGAAAAGTGCACGACGACCAAGGGCACAGAGTGATGGTAGCTTCTTCTCTTTCTATATATAGCAGTACATCTGTGACTTCATGATATCATCAATGAAATGCATCTCCCCGACACCAGCAGCACTCATGCAGCCCCACAGAAGGACACTTCCACCACCATGTTTCACTGTAAGCACCATGTATTTTTCTTTGTACTTCTAGCCTTTGTGATGCCATACAGTTTTGAAGCCATCCGTTCCAAAAACATTTATCTTGGTCTCATCACTCCAGAGTACAGAGTCCTAGTAGTCCTCTTCTTTTGCAGCATGGGCCCTGGCAAATTCTAGGCGGGTTTTCTTCTGCATGGGCTTTAGGAGAAGCTTACTTTGTGGATGACACCCATGCATGCCATTCCTCTATGGGAAACAATCACCCCAGTTTAGCTTTCTACTTCTTTAGCTAACTGCAATGAACTTGCATGGCGATTTTCAACCTTTTTCATCAGAAGACGCTCCTGTTGAGGTGTCAACTTCCATGGACGGCCTGGACATCTCTGTGAGATGGTTGCAGTTACATCTTTGTTAAATTTTTGTATCACTTTTGTTACAGTATTTTGACTGAAAAAGTAAAGCTTTGTTGATCATCTTGTAACCTTCACCTTTGTTGTCTAACCACTTGTCTACAGGGCACTTTCACCACCTTCCTGCCCAGGCCAATTTTCAGCTTTCAGCGCTGTCGCACTTTGAATGACAATTGCGCGGTCATGCAAAACTGTACCCATATGAAATTTATATAATTTTTTTTTAGACAGATAGAGATTTTTTTTGGTGGTATTTAATCACCACTGGATTTTTATTTTTTGCTAAACAAACCAAAAACACCTTAATTTTTTATTTTTTTAAAAAAAAAAGGTTTTTTCTTAGTTTCTGTTATACAATTTTATAAATGAGTAATTTTTTCAACTTCACTGATGTGTGCTAATGAGGTTGCAGTGATGGGCACTGATAGGCTGCACTGATGGGCACTGATAGGTTGCACTGATGGGCACTGATGAGGAGGCACTGGTAGGTGGTACTGATGGGCATTGACAGGCATCACTGGTGGGCATTGACAGACATCACTGATGGGCACTAAAAGGCAGTACTCATATATGGCACTAATAGGCAGCACTGTCTAGCACTGATAGGTGGCACTGACTGGCACTGTTAGGTGGCGCTAACTGGAACTGTTAGGTGGCACTGACAGCACTGATAGGCAGCACTGCCTGGCACTGATAGGTGGCACTGATTGGCAGCACTCATAGGTGGCACTGACTGGCACTGATAGGTGGCACTGAAAGGAAGCTCAGATGGGCACTGATATGTGGCATTGATGTTCACTGATGGGCACTGACAGATGGCATTGATGGACACTGACAGGTTGCACTGATGGGGCTATACTGATCATCGGGGCACTGATCATCAGTGCCCTGATCATCAGTGTAGATGTTCCCTCTGAGGAATGCTGATTACCGGTTCTCATGAATTGCATGAATTTCTTAGGAAAACTTTTTTGTGTGTGCAAATTAACCTCCCTAGCAGTATGATTATATCAGTATTTCTGTGCTCAAAGCAGTACATATTTTGCATGGAAATATGTTGTTTTTTTTTTATTGTAGGCCTGTAATTTTTAGGAATAACTCACTGAAATCTGTCCAACGAGGAATCTAGTAAACATCCCGGGTATGTTAAAATTTGAAACACGAAATCATAAATTTTTATTTAATAAATAATCATAAAAAATAATAATGTAATAATAATAATAATAATAAATGTAATTCAATAATATAATCAAACCAAAAACACTGAAATTTGAAATAAAGCGCCAAGTTTGCACATCACTGATCTTAGTCGCAAAATCGTTTTCAGTGTCTTATGACGAATTTCCCCACGAATCAGCACTCAATTCTGTAAGTAGTTCTAATTTATTATCGCTGTTCTCTAGCTGGTCTAAAACCGCTTTTGACCTAAAGGGACGCTTTTTGAAAGCCGTGGACATATCTCAGTTTCCAGGCAGAAAGAACAGTAAAAATGCAGGCAGGGCACAGGACAAAGCACTAGGGATAAAATGTATGTAAATACTTTGATACAGTAATGTTTTACTATGTGATTTTAGTGTATAGAGTGAATGTTACTTTTCAACATTTTTAAATTTCCCGCCGGTTCCATCTCCCGTACGTCCCGACGCTCGCAGGGAACGGAACCCGAAGACGGATGCCGGCATCGGCAGGAGGAGATGGCCGGGATGCTGCAGGGGGGACGTCACTGGAGCAAAGGACAAGGTAAGTGCAGAAGGGATCCCAGAGCAATGCTGCAGGGTATTGCCGAGTGTAGCTCGGGCTTACTGCTTTTGGTGCTGAAACTTTACCCCGAGCTACACTCAGGAATACCGCCAGGGAGGTTAACAAACCTTGTTTGCAATCAATGGCCCACATTTGTGGGATTATTTTGTAGTATAGTGTCTCACAGAAAATGTTGATTCTGAAAGGAAAGTAAAAGTTTTCTGACAAATCTGCTGGGGTGTACTCATTTATGCTGAGCACTGTATATGTGTATAAAACTAATATACTGTATGTATATGATTTACCCCTAAGTTTTTTTTATATATATTGGTTTTGGAAACCTTTTAAGTACCGTATTTGCCGGCGTATAAGACGACTGGGCGTATAAGACGACCCCCTACTTTTCCTGTTAAAATATAGGGTTTGAGCTATACTCGCCGTATAAGACTACCCCTCTTCCAACGCACACCAAATAAAAATGAAAAAACATCAGATTTGATTTCAATATGGTATGGTATTTCAGTATGGTATTCCAATGATGGGGTGCTACTCCTCCCACTGACACCAATGATGGGACACTATTCCTCCCACTGATACCAATGATGGGGTGCTACTCCTCCCACTGACACCAATGATGGGGCACTATTTCATCCACTGACACCAATGATGGGGCACTATTCCTCCCACTGATACCAATGATGGGACACTATTCCTCCCACTGACACCAATGATGGTGCCCCATCATTAGTGTCAGTGTGTGAGGAATAGTGCCCCATCATTAGTCAGTGGGAGGAATAGTGCCCCATCATTAGTCAGTGGGAGGAATAGTGCCCCATCATTAGTCAGTGGGAGGAATAGTGCCCCATCATTAGTCAGTGGGAGGAATAGTGCCCCATCATTGGTGTCAGTGGGAGGAATAGTGTCCCATCATTGGTGTCAGTGGGAGGAATAGTGCTCCATCATTGGTGTCAGTGGGAGGAATAGCGGCCCATCATTGGTATCAATGGGAGGAATAGCACCCCATCATTGGTATCAGTGGGAGGAATAGCACCCCATCATTGGTGTCAGTGGGAGAAATAGCACCCCATCATTAGTGTCAGTGGGAGGAATAGCGCCCCATCATTGGTATCAGTGGCAGGAATAGCGCCCCATCATTGGTATCAGTGGCAGGAATTGCGCCCCATCATTGATATCAGTGGGAGGAATAGCGCCCCATCATTGATATCAGTGGCAGGAATTGCGCCCCATCATTGGTGTCAGTGGGAGGAAATGCGCCCCATCATTGGTATCAGTGGGGAGAATAGTGCCCCATCGTTGGTATCAGTGGCAGGAATTGCGCCCCATCATTGGTGTCAGTGGGAGGAATAGCGCCCCATCATTGATATCAGTGGCAGGAATTGCGCCCCATCATTGGTGTCAGTGGGAGGAATTGCGCCCCATCATTGGTGTCAGTGGGAGGAAATGCGCCCCATCATTGGTATCAGTGGGGAGAATAGTGCCCCATCGTTGGTGTCAGTGGGGAGAATAGTGCCCCATCGTTGGTGTCAGTGGGAGGAATAGTGCCCCATCATTGGTGTCAGTGGGAGGAATAGTGCCCCATCGTTGGTATCAGTGGGGGGAGAATAGTGCCCCATCATTGGTGTCAGTGGGGAGGAGGAATAGTGCCCCATCATTGGTATCAGTGGGGAGAACAGTGCCTCATCGTTGGTGTCAGTGGAGGAGGGATAGTGCCCCATCATTGGTATCAGTGGGGAGAACAGTGCCTCATCGTTGGTGTCAGTGGGGGAGGAATAGTGCCTCATCGTTGGTGTCAGTTGGGAGAACAGTGTCTCATCGTTGGTGTCAGTGGGGGAGAGGAGCGGCTGCTCCTTCTTCCAGTGCGGCTGCTTGATTTTCGCGGGGCTGCTCGGCTCTGCCTCCTCTCCGGTAATTGGTCACCTGTGTGCCTTTCCAGTGCTGGCGCCCAATCACCGGTGAGGAGGCGAAGCCGAGCGGCCGAACTGAAAGAAGGAGCAGCCGCCGCTTCCTGGACCGGATCGTCGTGGGCCAGGTAAGGTACAGCAGCCCCTCTGTCCACCCCTGTACTTAGTGTCCGTTGGAGGAGGAGGGGGGGACGCGCCGCCCCTCGAAAAAGTGCCACCCTGACACCGGCTCGCACCGGCGTATAAGACGACCCCTGACTTTTCAGAAGATTTTCAGGGGTTGAAAAGTCGTCTTATACGCCCGAAAATACGGTAGGTTTTTTTAGATTTTCCTTGTGTCTGCACTATTTAAGTGCAGCATCACCCTTTTGTACTAAGCGCACATTTTTTGAGTTTAGTTAATACAACTTGCCAGTAAGCTTTGAAGCCCAACTTTGGGCTATGATAAGACAGCCCTGAGTGTCAGATAGAAGAATACTGCATTCTGATGCTCTGGGTTGGTAGGTCAGCAAGCCTAGATCACAATCAACTGGTTCCCGACTTCAAGCATGCGCTTCCCTGGTTTGAGGTTGAGGCCACATCAGAGGGCTTCACAGGCCACATGTGGCCTGCTAGTCAGGTGTTGAGCATCCCCGGTCTTGCAAAAATATACTTGCAGTGCTCAGAGTATCTAATAAAATAAACTGAAAAAAAAATATGAGCTCCCCAGATACATTAGAATCTAATTGTCTATGATGCATAGATCGAATAGTGCAAAAATGAAAATATCCTACAATCAGAATGTAAAACAGGCCTAATTCAGTTTTCAGAACAGTTTAATTCTTTGAAATAAGGTACTGTAAATCTAGGCATATGCTGTATGTCATAATTTGATTGTATAATCTCTGCACAACCTCTAGAATTATCAGAGGTAGGCTATGCTCAGTTCTATTGTAACATAGGTGTCAAAGGAAAGAACCAAAGCATGTGCAAGTAACTTTCACAAATGTTGAATGCTGAAACGACTGACAGAAGCTATAGTACTGGAAGGTGAGCATGGGCAGTTGGAGAAGTAAGTATATCACCAGGGACCTTTCAGTGCCACAAAAAGGAGAGGGTCTGCTGGGGTAGTAGGAAAAACTGCTTTTTTTGCTCCCCCTAGTCAAAAAAGGAGCATTTAACCCTTGCAGTGTGAAAAAAGCCGCCCCACTGCATGGAAACATTTTCATAATACCCCGACTTCAACTTCAAATATAGCATATTAGTACTGAACCACCTGTTGAAGGGCTCTTCATATTCTGTCATTCTTTGTTAGATTTGTTCATGCAAAATAAACAAAGGAAAAAAATGCATTTGGTGTTTTACATTTTTTAAATTTGACCAGAAAGGCAAATTTTTAGCCTAGAGAATACTGACTTTCTACATTTCTTCTGCCAGCCATTATTTCCATTTTCACAGCATTACATAATGATTCTGAACTGTTACTCAATAACCCTTTTCTTTTATTGCAACCACCCTACAAACAATAAAAAGACGGAAATACAAGGTATCAAGTAAATATATGATTTAATGTGGAGCAGACCTTCAAATAGTATCTGTATACCAAGCAAATGTGCCAAGTAAATGAGGATCAATTATACACAAGTGACAAGCAACACCTTTTGGCCTTTTCTACTACTAATAGGAAATACTTGACATTCCACATGAATCAATCTACAGTGTTAGAGAAAATTCATCTTGTGATGGTTGCTTGGCCTTGGCCCCTTCCTGCTTCATGAAATTGAAAGTTTATGAGGTTCAGTTCACAGCCTTAGGGAAAAGACAGCATGTTTCTTTTTATGAAGCACAATTGTAATAAGATTTTTTTCCTCCATCAATCTTGTGTGTGATCAATGTCATCACGGTATGTAGAAAACAAAAATAATATCAAAAATATCTAGGGACAAGTGTGTTGTCCGAACTCAATGGACTAAGAGATTAAACAGACCACAAGAGACAGTTACCAAGATACCCATTTTCTGGTAAGTTAGTTTAGGTTGAGAAGGAAAACTAAAGGTAAGACAGAAAAGTAAGCCTGTAGTATTTTAAAAAATATACTGTAGGTGTTGTTCTGAAATATAAAGACACTCTATGAATAACAAAATAAATGGTTGGAGTTTCTCTTAATGTGAATTTTTATATCATTTCCAGAAATGAACCATGAATATTTTTATGTATTCCAATGAAGATTTAGACAACTGAACCCAATAGAATGCATTACAAGTCAAGAAAATACACTAAAGTCATAATTATGGATCTCCAGCTTGGTTTTTCAAAACATAATGTGAGTGTCAAAACCAAATCTCTGGCATTAAAAAAATGAGTATAATTCTTAAAAGGAAGCCTATCTTCAGGAATACATATCAACTGCCACTACTGACATTTTTCTGAAAATGCTGGTTGCTTGGTTGTCATCTTGGCTATTAAAGTTTATTTCATGTTTGAGTCGATAACCCAGAAGAACTCAGGAACACCGGATGATCATCAGGAAAGTCTGACAACTAGTGTGTCTAGATCAGTACGGAGTACCGACCTACAGAACTGCTTCCAACTGGCCAGGTCGTTGTACTGATGTGGCATTACTCCTTTTGCTATAAGCTCATGGTCACTTCAGTGATCATGAACCTATAGCAAAAAATGTTCAGCAGACTCTGCTGAACAAATCAATAGCTGTGTCCACTAATAATTGCTTTAGTGTATTTTTAGCAAAAATATTGTTTTAATAAACATTTGCACAAATATCACGGAGCCTAAAAAATCAGTAGCACCTTCTTTTTATTCTACTAATCCTATGCTTTCAGAAAAAGTATGGTTTGGCAGGGATCCCCCCAGCCCCCCTCTTATTGTTACCAAAGCCTGATCCGATCCAGCAATGTACACAAGAGCAGTGCCTCTCGCTGTCTCCTTCCTCACTGGGCAAATTGATAGCAGTGGGAGTCATTGGCTCCTGCTGCTGTCAATCAAATACTGTGGTAAGGGATCAGGGGATGAGGCCAAGCTACCCAGTCTTTGTCAATAGACTCAGACAGGGCGGCTTGGGAACGAGCCCCCATGGGTGCTGTCATGGAAAGTGGCTTTCCATGGGGTCGCTTCCCAAAGAGGAGGAGCCTGAAGTGCTGGTGGGGGACCACAGAAGAGAAGGTTGTTCTGTGCAAAGCCATTGCACAGAATAGGTAAGTATACCATGTTTGTTATTTAAATTTAAAAAAACCCTGAAGGTTTAATGTTACTTTACAGGAGAAGTACAGCCAAAGCTCTTTTGGCTGTACTTCTCCTGTGGATCACTGGAGTGCAGTTTGTTCTGCATTCCTTGAGGTGATTGTAGCCGTATTAGTGCATTTGCTACAGAAACAATTGAGTACTGTCCGTGATACTTTTTTTATTTGCACTAACATACAATTTTGAGGACAAGCTTTCGGGAAGTGTCCCCTTCTTCAAGGTCCAAGCAGTATTATACAAATCACAAAGTTTTAGCAGAATGTTAGAAGAGATGAAAAAAAAAAAAGAGGCTAGAGATAAGACACAGCAAAAGCAAAGGGGGGGGGGGAAGACAACACTCATATCACAGAGGGAGTCAAGCTTGAGTTGATAGTCATAGAACTGTTGGATAATGATTGAGGAATCCCATGTCCAAATTCAGGCCGTTATCTCTTGTGTCAAATAGAATTATCATTCTTATTTCAAAAGTTATCCCCGAAAGCTTGTCCCCAAAATTGTATGTTAGTGCAAATAAAAAAAAGTATCATGGACAGTACTCAATTGTTTCTGTCGCAAATGCACTAATACAAACAAGGCTACAATCACCACAAGCAAAATGGAAGATACTGCATATGGCCGCATAAAGAAGCAGTTAACCAACCTAATCACAAAGGAAACACAGATCAACAGTGATATTTTCTTTCTCTCAAGATGCAAAAAGAGGAATCTTATACCACAAGGCCTCCGGATTACAAATCCTTGCGTAAATACAATCAACTCTCCTTATGCAGAAGGACTTTGCAGACGCACCAGCAAGAGATTAAGGAATAACCTCATCCACAAACTGTATGGAAAAAGGGTAACTATCAGGATACAAAAGCAGTCTTTGTTTGAAACTCTGACATCACTGGACCCTACCAACATTAACCAAATCAAGAATGAATTGGAAACTTTACAAAGACAAACACAAAAACTTGCCATGAATGGGAAACAAAAAAAACTTCAGAAGCTACATCAAGAGCAGACCTTTTGGATACAACCTAAATATAAAAGCAACCAACATCTATACCTCCTACTATCAGTGACCTGGAATCTAATCCGGAATCCCAAGGTATCCCTTGTGTAAATGCTGACCTCACTGAAAATGTGGATATAACAGAGGAACTTGGAATCATCAACTTGTCAAATCATAAACTTTCTGAACCAGAATTAACCATCCTCTCCAAAGGCCTTACATTCTGCCCAACCACCAAATTGGATCATTTACAATTATTGTCAGATATGGAGGATTTCTTCAGGAGACTAAGGCTCAAAGAATATTTCCACAATAATGAAAGTAATCCTAGGACAATGGAGTGCTACACAAAGAAAAAGAACAGCTGCTTCACACATCCACAAGGATGCAACCCCAAACTGGACACCTATATTGATAGCTTCAGATTGCGAGCTACATCCCTGATATCCACCCAGCAAAAGAAAATTCTGTACAATCTTTCACCACTAGAGCGAAGGGCTATACACGATTTGCACAATAATCAGGCCATCACCATAAAACCAGCGGATAAAGGGGGAGCAGTTGTTGTGATGGATACAAACAAACACATACAAGAAGGCCAGAGGCAGCTGGAAAATGCCATCTACTATAAGAAACTGGATTATGATCCGACCCAGGACTTTACAAAGCAATTAAAAGGTCTCATTAAAACACTTCCAGCCCACCTACATTCAGAACTTATAAATGCGATTCCGGATCATCCAGAAATCAGGGACTTCTACATGCTGCCCAAAATCCACAAGCCAGGAAATCCAGGCAGACCCATCATAACAGGTATGAATACACTCACTGAACAAATCTCAGGCTTTTATATAAATAAACAGCGCAACATAGACCTCAATTCAAACCACAATAAAT